ATTCATCTTTTAGGGATCACATGGATTACATGAAGAATTAAACATCTACAATTACCACCAAATATTAAAAACAAACGACAGGAGTTTTAATGATGAAATTGAAAACAACCCACATATGCTTTAAATCCCATGCAGTATATTTTGTCAAAATTTTAGTCGGCATTATTTGTCTAAATTAAAAGCTTTATAAGATTTGAGAAATGTGGTATGTATGGAAAATATGAGGTGCATATAGAAAATGTAAGATGTACATTAAGAATGTAGGGTGTGAAGGTATTATGGGGAAGTAAGTGAGGGTGTATTAAGATAGTTTTTAATCGAAAAGCAAATGTGAGGTGTATTAAGTATGTGAGGTTTATTCAACAATTTATGAGGTGTTAATATAATAAGTCTTACCTAAATGTTTCTCTCTTAGGAACTTCTCTAATAATATGCATTTTTTTTTCTTTGTGGTATCAAGTTTAACCTCTAACCATATAACAATTATTTGGTCATTTTAATACTTGGTGCCTCACTGTTTTCAGTGATAAATTACTACAATATAACTCATTCAATTTAAGGGTGAATTATTGCAATTACCCATTCGATTCAATTGGTGCCTTTCAAGTGTCTGTTTTCTTCTCTCCACATCAAGCACGCAGGATGTTAGGGTTTTTTCCTTCAAAAAAAGATTTGAAGAATGTGGAGTGTATAGAAAATGTGTTGTGTATGTAAAAAATGTAAGGTTTATGTTGAGAATATGGAGTATAAGGGTATTATGAGGAAGTATGTCGAATGTATTAAGATAATTTTATATATTTCATCATCAAATTTGTGCTTGATGCATGTCGGATCTGTATTATTGCATCCACAACCGTCTGAACTTGTCAGGCTTTAAAATATTCTCCAGGTTACACAACAAACTGTGCATGTGCAGGTCCATGTCCATTTGTGCGTGCACCAGCTAACAGCTATTCAATGGAGTCACCAACAATAATGTTGTCTAGTCCACGTCCATTAATTATTACCATGCATCATGCATGTATAGTAATATTACGTCATATATCATTCCTGAAAGGTAAAATAAGTGAAGAACAATACCAGACACCGAGTGTATGAATAAACATTGTTAACTACGAGAACTACAAACTCTTTGCTCACATATCGATCACTAAAATGTCTTATTGTACCAAACTACTTATTATGATTCGAAGAAAAAACCATAGTACATTTCACATATCATTATCAATCACAAATTGGACGGTCGGCATTTTCAAAGATGGAAGTTATCTACATAATCTTAGGATGAAAGTTTGGAAGAGTTAGATATGTTTTGACATTATAGTCAATCTTTATCACAATCAAGTTGGGTAATAAGGTCAGCATGGTAATCCAAAATCAACCTCATACAAATTAAAGTCAAATAACGTATAGCTTTAGTGTTAGAACATTTTACGCTCATGCATGTATAGGTTTATTTTTCTTGACGCCGATAACGTTAGTAGGTAAAACTTAGTTGTTAAAAGGGCTCAGTGGAAATTAAACCTCCACCAGAATGCATAAACATGATATTACTTTTTGTCACTGCGATAAAGCGTCATCTGTTATGCTTATGCATAGTTAAATCAGCTTTCTAATTTAATACAATATTAATAACTAGTTAAGAACACTGCTTCGTACAGCCTAAGCGCACAATATCAAATCAAGACAAACTTTGAAATATTAGATATATATAACCTCTCATAACAAAAGTACAATCGTAGACTTGATGTTGCAAGTGACCATACATACGTATAGTTTTGGTCTTTTCTTTGCGTGCATGCATGAACCACTCCCATAGTTCATATTTACCAAACCAAAAGGATATTTTGACATTATTTTATGGGATCAGGTCAGATTCCAGGAAAGATGCGTCTCTAACCCTAAATGCACAAAATGTAAACTTACAAGACACTCTCTTCTTTTTCTTTTAGTGATGAAAGTGGCAAAAACGAATCTATAAGATGTGAAAGTTCCAAGCCTTCAAGAAAAAGGTAGAAACCCTAATAAGGAGGTCCATCTTCATCCAAACTATGGTCCATGCATGGCTAACATTACTACAAACACATTGTTTAACCTACTGCCACGTGGAAAATGGTGCTGATGATTGGGGTGCTCCCATTGGCCCACTACCATGTCGTTTTTCTAGAGCTCCTTTCGAGAAACGACACGTGGGCAAGAGCGAGTCCACAAAAACCTGCCTAGAAATGTTGACACATACGCGCCTGCGTACACAGAGGCATCGTAGCAATGGGACACATTGGCATGGCGACAATTGGTGAAAAATGACATGCAATCAGACATCCAATGACACATGTCTATTGTAGGTGAAATCTTAGATGGGGACAATGTTACCTATCTTTGGCCACTTGATAACATGATATACACAGCGGATTGCTCTATGTGTTAAGTTCGACAGTCTTTGGCGTTCCACTTATTTGTGTTGCTCATGTATTATACTTAAAATTTATCACAGTTTAACCAACGTGTTGAGAATGAATTTTATATGACTGATAAAAGAATTTTACAAAAGCTTATAAGTAAGATGGGCTTCTTATAACTTTAATTTTATGATAAAATTTCAAGTTTCTTTGGCAAATATAATTTGTTCTAGCAAATATAATTTTTTCTAGCAAATCACTTCGTTGTAAGATATTCTGGGTTAAGAACCTGGACAATTGTGAATGAAAATAGCGCAACTCTTGTTACGATAGGCAAAAAAGAAAAATATGCATGTAGTTGTTAACAATATTATTAGGGAGATGAATTTTTTAAGGATAATGCTAGGAAAATTAAATTTGTAAACTAAATGATGTATCTTTAATAGGAAATAAATACGTTAATCAACACTTAAGTTATAATTTAATCATCAAGAACCATATCATTTAGTTTACAAAATTTAGTTTAAAATTTAGTCTCTCTAGCATTACCTAATTTTTAAATCAAATAATATCTCACCAATAGAAAATAAGCACGATAATCAACACTTGAGTAATACTCAATCATCAACAATCACATTAGTTTAAAATTTGGGTAATGCTAGGGAGACTAAATGTGTAAACAAAAATTTGAAACTAAATGATATGAAAGTTGATGATTGGATTATTACTCAAACGTTGATAAACATGCTCATTTCCTGTAATGCTAGGGAGACTAAATTTATAGCCAAGATTTGCAAATCAAATGACGTGAGCACGTTTATCAACAATTAAGTAATAATCCAATTATCAACTTGTATGTCATTTAGTTTAATTAAAATTTTGATCTCTCTCTAGCATTACTCTTTCGTTAATATGAATGAGGAAGAGAGATTTGGAAGGTAGTGATTCTTCTTCTCTATATTTTTTGATTCAGTAAATTAGTTGAGACTGAAGCAGTAACGAAACTAGCTTCTCATGTATGTTGAGTGGGGTTGGAAAGGAGGGGAAGAGCTGCTGAGGTTGGGGCCAAGGCCATGACATGCTTATCAGCTTACGCATGGCTCCACTTCTAGACTTGAGAGCTGTAACTACGAAGGAAGTGCAAAAGGAGAAAACGAAAGCTTGAAGAACAACATTTAATTAGAAATTAAAACAAATTCTAACGTTAAAAGATGATGTATCTCAATAATTCTTAATGCTGTTAATAAAATCACACCCTTTAGCCAAGTAAATTTTCCATGACGTCGTCTTTGCATTAAAATCTTGTCATGTGATACTAGGTAGGTAAATTGAGAGTTCAAATTTTCTGCACTCAAATTCTCTGTTGCCTTTCCATGACTTATGTTGTTGTTGAAAGAAGTGTAAAGGGCCCTTGTTAATTTTTATCGGGTTTTTTAGTTAAAATGGTTTATGAGTTTTGCATAACACATCACTTTGATCTATGAGATTTGGAATCAATAGAAATGGTTCATAAGATTGTCCATCATTAATCATCTTGGTCATTTCGTGCAAAATTATGTTAAATAGGGATCAAAATGATAAATATACCATCAATTTAATAAACAACGTGTCTAAAATGATTTGACAAAAATTAAGGGTATTTTGGTCATTATATTCTTATTTAATGGAGATTTTTCAAGGAATGACCAAAATGATTGATGGTGGAAAAACTCAGGAACCAATTCTATTAATTTCAAATCTTAGGGATGAAAATGAGGAATTATGTAAATCTCAAGGATAATTTTAGCCAAAAAGCCATTTTTATCCTTTGATATTCTTTAAGTCATTCGATCTGGTGGCCAGAATTGAGAGTAATATGTAGAAAGTAAACTGGGCTGCTTGGATAGCACCACCTTTTTTTTTTTTAAACAAAAGCACCACCCTTTATTTAAACCACGGAGTATGATTCTCTCCCCTTCTATTCTTATCATCTTCCATCCCCTCCTCTCACAAATTGTTTTTTTTTCTTATTTTGCTTATTAAAAAATTAACATAAAACGTTGGCGTGACTTAATTGTAACCATTCAAATAATAGGGGAGGGAAAGAGAAGAAGACTAGGAGGGGAGAGAATCCTACTTCTTAAACCACAAATAATAATATTAACTCTTAACTTATTTCCTAAAAAAAATTTAAAAACTAAAGATAAATTAAATAAAAAAGAAACGTATTACTCAAATAAATAAACCCAAATAGCCAGAAAAGATTTTTGACCTAGAAGATTTGAACTTGTAAATCGAACACAAAGCTCCATGAAGATAAATTTGGCAAGTAAAACTAGAGAATGTTTACCAAAAAAAGACATGAAAGCTGAGATATGAAAATGGGATGAAAAGCAGGTTATAAAAAGCCTGTAAACAGAAGAAGGGGATGTTGATATAAAGTAACCATGGTTAACAGAAAAATGGAGTCCGCAAAAGACGGAAGAAGGGCTTGAAAAACAGGTTAAAAAGCCCTGTAAACGGGAGGGGGATGTTGAAATAAAGTAACCACGGTTAGAGAACCTTGGTTAAGTTGCCGCTAATCCTTGGTGTGCGGTGGCTCTCTTGCTATAAATATAGGGAGAACTGGTTATGCAGAGCAGCCATTGTCAAACAAAAACTGTATATATATTTATCCTGATTGTATTTGTATGTGTATGACTGCTGCCTATAATCCCTAGAATCTCTTCTTCTTCTTCCTTCAGCTCCTCTGGATGTTACTCGGTTTCTATCAGGGCCAAAAGCTTGAAGCTCCAAAAGCCTCACTCTGTGTAAGTCTAAATTCTCAGCCATTTTTGAAGCTGTAGACTTTTATTTTCTGCTTATTTATTCATTTTTATTTTCTGGGCTTTTTTTTCCAAATTGTTTGTTTTTTCTGTTTAGTAATCAAAAGAATGCATTTTTAATGGTTTTTGGAGGATTAATTTGAAGAATTCTAGATCTTAAGTCATCGTATGATACATTTGGTTGCCGGGTATGTTGGGTTTAGGAAATTGGGTTGTGGGGTGAGATCAAGTTGCTTGCTTTATGTGTCTTTTCTTCCATTTGGTATGATCTTCTGAGTTTTTAAGAACTCTGTTGGGTTTGAGGAAATAATTGGTTCTGCTCTCTGTAAAGTCTAGGGTATAAAGCTTAGTTATTGCTGCAGAACGGTTTTGTTAATTCTCTTGAACAGAATATGAAATCGCTTCGATCAAATAATCATTGTGTTAAATCATAATTTCGCTGCGAAATTTTAAGCTTTTTATGCTGAAGGGTCTGCTTGATATCGATAATTCGATATCATGGTTCAATCTTCTTTATATAAATTCTAATACTTTCCTTGATTGCATTGCAGGTCGGGTAACACGAAGATTTCGGTGACATTTTCATCTCCATTTGACTAAACTCTTACTCATCAAATTGATATAATAATCTGTCTCCCGTTTCGCGTCTCTGCCGGTTCAATCTGGTTCCACTGCCCCTCAACAATCTTGGCAATCCGATTCGAGCCAGTTGAACTTGTGTTTTGATCACATGGGTCTCTCTAGTCTACCAGCTCCATCAGAAGGTGTTCTATGTGTGCTTTTAGTAAACACTGCCTTATCAGTCTCCATCATCAAGGGGATAATCCGATCAGTCCTGCAATTAGTTGGTATCCGTCTCTCATCATCTTCCCCGCCGTTAGCAGACTCCTCTGAAAACCTCTCAGAATCATTTGAGTTTCATGTCAGTCCCTCGGCTAGTTACATTGAGGAGATCAGGAGCAGTATCCCAGCAATTCAGTTCGAATCTGTGTGTAGCTTCAAGCAGCGGGAGCACGAATGCTCAGTCTGCCTAACCGAGTTTGAACCTGAATCGAAGATCAACCACTTGTCCTGCGGCCATATTTTCCATCAAAATTGCTTAGAGAAGTGGTTGAATTACTGGAACATTACATGCCCTCTTTGTAGGACTCCTTTCATGCCCGAGGAGGACGCACCCTGCTTCTGGTGAAGTGTTTACAAAGCAAGAAAATCGCGATGAATGTCATGTACAGCGTTTAATGTACAGGTATTTGACAAGAATGCATCGCCTGCCATAGTGTTGTTATGCTATGTTATGTGCGAGTTAAAACCGTGATAATATGTCCATCAGTCTCAGAGACCAACATTTTTACTAATGTACATATAATTAAGTTTACATATATCTACTTTCGCCTTTGAGTTGTGATTATCGAATGTTCGAGTTTTACTTGTGTCATGATTTAGTGAGATATTTCCTTTCCTGCTACTTCAAGTCATATATTGTAAAGCCGAGCGATTCTTGGGTGCTACCAGTTGTATACAACTGTGATATGACAGATTTCCTCGGGGTGTTACCTGTTGTATACATGGTTGTGTACATGACCGGTGATTTGATCGATTTTCTCGTGTGCTACCAGTTGTATACAACTGTGATATGACTGATTTCCTCGGGTTGTTACCTGTTGTATATATGTTTGTGTACATGACCGGTGATATGACCGATTTTCTTGTGTGCTACTGGTTGTATGCAACTGTGATATGACTGATTTCCTCGGGGTGTTACAGGTTGTGTACATGGTTGTGTACATGATTGGTGATATGACCGATGTTCTCGTGAAATATAGGGTGGAGTTTGCTTCTTTCTTAATAAATGTGTTATGCATCTATGGATGGAGTTTTCATTTCCTTAAGTTAACATCAAGGAACGGAAATTAGGAGGCGGCTTTGAAGGACCATATCTTCTCAATGGTTTGAAAAAAAATGGAATAAACCCTAAGAATTGAAGCATCAATTGAGCACTTGAAACAGCTGCATGGAGGAAAAAAAAGCTACAAAATAATAGAGAGATGTAGATGTTGCTTTTGGATTTGGATCAAAGGGAGGACCGCCTGAAAATAACGTTATAGTAGTGGTCCTTTTTTCTTTGTACAGCTTTACTAAATATGTTTATTCTACTTTTCTAAGTTAAATGGACTTAGTGGTGGTATTGGTACGATTACCGTATCAAAATTCATGTACCAATTACTATACCAAAGTTTTTTGTATGATAAAATCTATTACCATTACCGTATCGAACTTTCGGTATGCCAAATAGTTTGGTTAGCATGGTATGATAATGGTAATTACCACTTTGTTTTGGGCCAAAATTTGATATTTTTTTTTCAACCCAATTCAAGGCCTAAAAGTGTTTTCGCCACTCCCTTTGGGTTTATAAAACTTTTTATTTAATTATGAAAATTTTATAGAAATTCATTTAAGAAACAAGAAGTAATTAGATGCAAGAATTGCTGAAAGAATTCAATATCCATAAAAAAATAGTACAAAGATTCCTAAATTCTATCTCTACATTCTTTAAAATTGTACAAAAATTAACTTAATAGATGAAGCCAGGGAGAAAGACATCCCAATTTGATGGAGGAGAAGATGAAATGGACTATGGAGAGAGAGTCGGAACTGGAGCAACAGAGATGAAATCGGTGGTTAGATGAGTGAAAATATGAAGAGTTGCAGCGCAAGAAGACTTATGTTTTTTTATTGAGAAAGTAGAGGTTAGATGGTGAGATGATTGGATAAATGACTAGGAAAAATATATAAAGTGCATATATAATGATAATAATACCTAATTCTATATAAAAGATATAATATTAATAGTAGTGGTACGGTACGATATATTATTGATAATAATTTTGAATACAATTACCGTACCAAAAATGTATGGTACGGTTTGTATCGTACCATTACCAATGGTACAAATTTTTTGGCACAACCTTAGTATGGTAATTTGGCAAAACATTCTACCGCTAAAATAAAGGAGAAATTCTTGAGTGTAGACAACCGGAGGCTATTCAACCGCCCACACAAACCCCATCCCGTGTATTTTGTTACCACTCACTTCGGTCTTATGTGTCTAGCGTCTGTGTCCGAACTGAAGAATTTCTCCAAAGAAAACGAGAAAAATAGTAATAAAGTAGAGCTTCAAGTATGTTTACCTAGAATGGGAAAATTTGGAAATAGGGGAGAGAGGGAATAGTAGTGAGCAATTGTTCACGATATAATTACGAGATCGAGCAATGTTTTTGCAGCATTTATATTGGTCGTGGCCTTCCGGTACTATCGGCAGAAATTGGTGGCGGAGTGGGCGGAAGAATCAGATGATGCCGCTGCCGGAGGAGGAGGAGCTCAGGAAACCTGGCAACAAGGAGGACATAAACAAGGGCATGTGGATATTACCAAACAAAAGAATGTTTTCCTCATTTAATGTAAATAGTTAAATACCTTTGATTAGGGACAATTCGTAGTCCTAGTTCGTGACCAATAATTACTTTATTTATGACATGTTTACGCACTGGTAATCGGAATAAAAAAGAAGAATTAAATTATGATTACGGAGTGTTTTAATGTTTATTAAATATTGGTGAATAAAAAAAGTGATGGGATTCGCACGAATTTTAGAATTCTATTTCTCATTGTAGAGGAATTAGACTCTCTAGATATAAGTGGTATTTCAATTTCGAATGATGTGAGGAATTTAGAATAGAAATCTTTTTCCTTATATAAGCGGAATTTCAATTCCAAATAAGGAGTTCGAAATAGTACATGAGTTATTTGCAATGGAAACCCTATTTTTATATCGAAGATTATGTGTAAAAGTTGCAATTTGTGCATATTGGAGCCTAACTTGACCTTTAATAACTTCCCCGGTTAGTGTACCAAGAAAATCTTAAGCCTCATTTGGCAGCTCGTATAAAGGATCAAATTATTGTTCTAAAAATTCATGTTAGATGTTAAAGTTTATGCCCCATCTGTAGCGTTTTTTAAAATTTTGGAAGTCTTAATGAAACACTTATGGTACTATTCACTTTTAACGTTAATGATATTTTTACTCTGAAAAGTCGTTCCTGGTATTATTCATTTACAACATTTTTTTGTTATTTTGATTAAGATTTAAAGTTTTCAAATCCTTTTCATTAGTTTTCTTTAAAATATTTAATTGTTTGGAATAAATAATAGAATTTTGATGTTTGATGCAGTAATGTACTAAATAGTACTCCTATTAATTAAATTGGGTCCCCATATTGTTTTATACAGTGTAACCTACCAATTTATCTTCCAAAAGAGTAATATTAGTCCGATAATACCCACTTTAATATCGAATCAATGATATTTTAATACATATATTATTATTTTAAAAAATAATTAATAATAATATGTTAATTAATTTTGTTTTGAATTACAAAAACAATAATAAGTGACCTCTTTTTTTTTTTTTTTTTTTTTTAAGAGGCACAACTGGTGATAAGTTACGACACTCTTTTCGGGGGCCGAGAAGACTCATATAGGCATTTCAGCATTCCCTAACCACATGTCTGGCTTCCACGTTTCCAACTGAGACCTTCAGTTTTTAGTTGTAAAGAAACCTTGTAATCCACCTTTTACCAATGGATCACCAACTCGTGGTTGAATAAGTGGGAAAAGGATGATCATTTTCCTAGGGATCTTAGGAATCTCGTGATCTCACCCATTCATCGTGCAGTTAGAAATCATTTTAAAATTTAAAATTTAAAATAAATATAAATAGTACTTAACGAAAACTAATCGCAAGATATATAATGAACGAGTGAGATCACGGATGATCCTTTTCCGAATAAGTGACCCCTTCGGACAAGGCAAAATATAATCCAAAATAAAAAAGTGACTATACAATACTGTACCTAAGAATGTATTAGTCGGGTGTTTCGTCTCGCTCTCTCTGTCTCCCTCTCTCACGCGTCGATCTGCAACCTCACTCCCGTTGCCATCGCAATCCCAGGTTTTCTTCCTTCTCCTTCTTCTTCTTCTCTCTCTGTAGTTGTTGGGTTTCTCTCTTATTTTTCTTGCAATTTTCTTTCAATAAATTGATTGTATAGTTTTGTCACCAACGCATCATCCAACACTTTGGCCAAGCTTTCGTTCTCGCACCCAAATTTGAATTCTTCGTCGCGGTATGTTCGCTACTTGGTTACTTCTCGTTTCTTTAAATTTTCTAAGCCTGATTTTTTTCATAAACCCTAATTTCGGGGAAGAAATTATTTAGCTGCTTTCTAATCACTTGTTCTATCAATGTTTTGGTTTTACAAATTTTCTTGTTCGATGATTTGGGTACTCATAAATCATAATGCGGATGCTTATTCCGGCGATTATTGTTGTTTATTGGCTAATAATTATTAATGAGCTGCGAGGGAGTTGAGGAAGGGTTTAATATTCCGATTCGTGCTCTTAGAATTTTTTATGTTTTATGTTAATTTAAATATGCTAAGGGGTTTTCTTTTGGCGTGAATTAATTTAGATGAGTATTGCCGATTCACCACTACACTCGTCTAGCAGTGACGACTTTGTCGGGTTTCTTGAGAGTGCCCTGGATTCTGGTTCTCCGGGGTCATCACCGGATGAAGAAGCTGATGATGACAGTGACGTCGAGATTGATAGTAATAGGTGCTAAATTCGTTGTTCTTTTATGTTTAATGTGTATGAGTTTTTATTAGATATCAGAGATTCTATAAAACTGTTGGGTATGTTCAAAGGTTTTAACATACAACTTGTGAATTACCGTGCAGTGCAAAGAGGCGTAAGGTAGAGTTTGGAAGCACTGAGGAGATTCCTGGGTCGACTTCAGAAATTTTCGTAGAAGAACTCTCAGGTAACTATTTTGACTCAGTTGGATAGTGTTTTGGATTGGTTTGTTACGTGTTGTTCCCTTCCAACTCTGCTCTGCGAGAAACGTTTCTAATAATGAGCAACTTTGTTAGTAGCAAGACCTCCTTCTGTAGACTTATAATTGGGCTTCTTTTCTTTTCTTTCTAACTTTGTATATCTGGCTTTTGGTCTGTTTGTCTCACTTTTTAGATTGATGAAAGCTGAAGAGTTAGATGTAGTCATTATGGAGTTTAATACTTCCTTGAACATATTTTCTCCTCAGTGTTTAGTTATAGTTTTAACTCAATATAAGGGATGAAAAGGTTTTCTTGTCTTTTTCGTAAAATTAACTGGACAGACACTAAGGAAATGATCAGTTTCTTGGAATGTCCTCCATCATAGAAAACGTTTCTGCTCAAATCTCAAAGGATATATGTGCAAATCTTGTTTTTTTTTCTCTTGAATGCAAAATGTTGTATTCATCGTGTTACCATATGCAGAAGCATCCATGAAGGAGGACATTTGTACTCATCCTGGTTCATTTGGAGATATGTGTATCGTCTGTGGGCAGCCGGTGGATGACAAGTCTAGTGTGATATTTGGGTACATACACAAGGTACGCCTTTAGATGACTGGTTGGTGGAGGTGGATAGAAGAATTTGTATGTCTTTACTTAAATATTGGTAGCATACATGCATACAATAAATTTTGGAGGCATTATTCAACTCCAGTCACCTTTAACTTGTAATTCAGAAATTACTGATCCCTAATGTAAAATATAAACTTATTCTTAAAAAGAAAGTCAACTGTTTTCATGTATCCATTTGCTCGTAATATGTGGAATAACTACCTAATCTATTGGTATCTATTGCAGGGATTAAGGCTTAATAATGATGAAATTGACCGGTTACGCAAAACAGACATTAAGAAGTCGTTGCACCATAAGAAGCTTTACTTGGTCCTTGATCTAGATCACACACTGCTTAATTCTACCCATCTGAATCATATGTCCGAAGAGGAATATTTACATAGTCAAATAGATTCTCTGCAAGGTATGTGATGTTTTCCCTTCTTGTGTTTTTGCTTTTGTAACATATTTAGCGATTCAATTTTAGTGTATACATCTTTCTTTGTGGGCTGTTGTACTCTCTCCTGTTATACATCTTCAAAGTAAGTAATTTAGAAGAATATTTCCTACCTTACAAATACATATGTTGTTCCTGTTGAAATTTTGCTAACTAGAGAAAGGTTTCTACTTTTAATCAGTTACAAAGTTGTTTGTTTGCTTCTGGTAACATGTTTCTGGCTTAAAACAAGGTTGATTAGGTTTTATTTGTTTTAATTCATTGAACGTCTTATCATGTGTACATGCCTTTGCATCCTCTTATTATTTTTGCCCAATT